AATGGCCAAGGAGTTGACCCATAATTACATCCATGCTGTGTGACTATGGAGATTCTCAATCATCCAGGTCATGGTTGTCCCAAAGGTGCTTTTTCCAAAAAGGCAAAAAAGGCAAAAGCAATTGGACTTTCTTGGTTGTTTTTCTTTGAAAATATTTCGCTTCTCATCCAAGAAGCTTCTTCAGTTCTAATGAGAAGCAAAACATTTTCAAACAAAAAACCTAAGAAAGTCCAGCCGTCTTTTGGAAAAAGCACCTTTGCGACATCCATGCTGTAGCAATTGACCTTTATGATAAAAGAGTTGGTGTCCTCAACCTTGAAAGAAGCAATGGTGCACCCCCTCCTTAAGAGGCCCATCCTTGGACCCAATCACCTTCTTTTAATGACCCCATAATCCCTTGCGGGGTGGAGTCTGGGCAACTGAATGGAGCCGAGTGTTTACTGGCCAGATGCCCTTCCTGTTGCCGATGCGGAGTTATATTCAGCAGATATATTCTCATTGTGCCCAGAGAGAGAAACATCTGCCTCTACCTAGGATTGAACTCACAGCCTCCTGATTGTGAGGCGAGAGCTCCACTGGTCTTCAATAACTATCAACCAGTCTCCAACCTACCCTTTCTTATAAATATGGCTAAAAGGGTGGTTGATCTGCAACTGATGAGAACCCTGATGTACCAGGGTTTATGGGGTAACTCTCCTTTCCCACCAAATCTTCTGAGGAGAGATGCTTTTGTGGGCCTTTGGAATTCCCAATAATCTAAATATCATGAGGCAGGTTGTTCCACAGGAAGAGGCTTCAAATAGGAAGCTGGTGTTCTTGCAGATTCCATTAGTGGTGGGATCATCAGAAAGCCCTCTGTCCTAGATTTGGGCAGATTCATCATGGAAGATATGGTCTTGGAAGTCTTCTAGAACAGGGGTCTCCAACCTTGGCAACTTTAAGTCCGGCGGTCTAGCCTGGCTGGGGAATTCTGGGAGTTGAAGCTGGGCTTAAAGTTGCCAACGTTGGCAACCCCTGTTCTAGAAGAACTTAGAAGAACTTTAAAGGTGACAACCGGGACCTTGAATTGCATCCAAGAACTACCTGAGCAGCTCCCTTAATATCATACAGTATCATATAGCCTGTCTTAGTAGACTACATTATGATGTATGCTGAACCAGAAAGACTTTCGAATAGACTTCAAGGGCAGCCCATGTAGAGCAAACTCTACCTGCCCATTAACGAGCCGACAGTGGTGTGACTTGACTGCGCATCAGGATGCACAGTTGTCGAACAAGATACAATTGTGCAAAAGCTTTTCTGCCGTGAGTCCAGGAGCACAGCCATGTTTTGGTGTTTCCTTTTCTTATCAGGTGCTTTTAATTTTTGTGGTTCATTGTTTTGAGCCCTTTTTTGAGCTTTGCATAAAATTTATGGGCCCTGAAAAGGAAGAGCAGCAAATTATGCTGTTTTTACTGTTTCAAACGACTGAGTAATCTGCCTGGAGGACTTCACGGATTGAGCAGAATTCGCTTAAACCCAAATAAATAAAATGGTATTATAATCAGAGGGGCAGCACGGTTAAGTCGCTGGCAGGGGTGGGCTGCTGGGAGTTCGCAGGGTTCGGGAGAACCTCTAGATAAGATTCTGTGCAGTTCAGAGAACTCCGATATCCCGCTCCTGGCAGGCCCTGCCCGCCCCGCCCCGCCCCTCCCAGGAGTCCCCATGCGGCCCATTTTGAAGGCAGGTAAGTGCAGGATGCGCATGGAGGCTCAGGGAGGGCAAAAAATGGGCCTACCGAAAGTTCGGGAAGGCCGGAAATGGCCTCCAGAGAATCTCTGGAGCCTGTGGAGGCCATTTTTGCCTTCCCGGAGGCCCGAGAAAAGCCTCCAGAGCCCGTGGTGCAGAAGGCTAACTAGGCCATGCCCACCATGGCCAGGCCCACCCAGCAACTGGGCAGAGAACAGCTGGAAAGGTGGCAGCCCAAGTTCAAGACCTGAACTGCACACGACAGGGTGAGATCCCATTACTTGCCCCCAGCTCCTGCCCACCTAGCTGTTTGAAAGCATGCAAATGCGAGTAGATAAATAGGTACCACTTTGATGGGATGGTAACTGTGCTCTGTGACATCGCCTCGGAAATGTCTTCAGACAACTGGTTCAGTGACCTTGAAATGGAGATGAGCACTGCCCCTTATAGTTGGTAACGGAGTAAAATCCGCAGGGACTCTTTTACCTTATGATCATTAATTGAAGCACGTTATTAAGGGGATTCAGCTTCCCCCGTTGACTTTGCGTGTTGGAAGCCAGCTGGGAAGATTGCACATGATAATTGCATGACCCATAGACACTGTAATCATCATAAATCCATGCTGGTTGTCAGGGCCCCAAATGTTGACCCTGAGGATGTGTGACAGTCCTTAAGTGCAAAGACCAGTCATGTCACTTTTTTCAGCGCTATATCTACAAATGGTCGCTAAATGATTGCTTGTAAACTGAAGATAACCTGCCTTGCAAGCCAGAATCTTAGTTAAACATAAAAAAAAAAAAATGTTGTTAGGAACAACATTCACACCAGATTTCGCAAACCTAGAAGTGTTGGACTGCAATTCCTATAAACCTCAGCCAACACACACAGCAGAGTGTTGCAAGATCCATTGTCCAACTTGTTTTCCTGCTAAAAGTCATACTATAATACACAACACAATTCAGAATACGGAATAATAGAGCTGGAAGGAGCTTTGTAGGCCATCTAGTCCAACTCCCTGCTCAAGCAAGAGGCCTATACCATTTCTGACAAATGGCAGTCCAGTCTCTTCTTGAAAGCCTCCAATGATGAAGCACCTACAACTTCTGCAGGCAACCTGTTCCGTTGGTTGATTGTTCTCACTGTCAGAAATGTTTTTATTTCTAGGTTGAATTTCTCCTTGATCAATTTCCATCCATTATTCCTTGTCTGGCCTTCGGGTGTCTTAGAAAGTATCTTGACCCCTTCCTCTCTGTGGCAGCTCCTCAAATATTGGGACACTGCTATCATGTCTCCCCTTGTCCTCCTCTTCGCTAGACTAGCCGTGCCCAGTTCCTGTAACCGTTCTTCACATGTTTTAGCCTCCAGTTTCCTAATCATCCTGGTTGCTCTTCTCTGCACTTTTTTTTAGAGTCTCAACATCTTTTTTATAGTGTGGTGAGCAAAACTGAATGCAGTATTCTAGGTGTGGTCTTACTAAGGCTTTATAGAGTGATATCAGTACTTCACTTGAGCTTGATTGTATCTCTCTGTTAATGCAATTTAGGATTGCATTGGCTTCTTCTGCTGCTTCCGCATACTGCTAGTTCATATTTTATTTTATTTTATTTTATTTATTATTTATTTATTTATTTATTTATTTATTTATTTATTACATGTATTTATATGCCGCCATTCTCCCGAAGGACTCAGGGCGGCGAACACAAGTTAAGAAACAAATACAATAAAATCATAATTTAACTGGCTGTCCACTAAGACTCCAAGATCCCTCTCACAGTTACTGCTGTTAAGCCTGGTTTCACCCAGTCTATATATGTACCTCTGGTTTTTCTTGCCTAAGTGTAAGACTTTAATTTCCTCTACACTGAATTTCATTTTGTTAGATAGGGCCCAGTGTTCATGTCTGTCGAGATCCATCTGGATCCTGAGCCTATCATCTAGGGCAGTGATGGCGAACCTTTTCGGCACGCGGAAACATCGCACGCGTGTACGCGTTCGTCGGGGCCACACTCAGGAAAAGCTGAACTTCCTTTCTAGTGTGCATGTGCGTCTGACAACCAGCTGGCTGGCACGCATGTGCACACCTGTTTTCGGAACTGACACGCGCGAAGGACAGCTGATCATCACGCACGCATGCGCGCCAGAAACCTGGAAGACAAACAGGCAAAGCTGCGTGTGCCAGCTTAGTACCATAGTAAATTCCCCTTCTATTCCCCCATCTAAGTCATTTAGGAAGAAATTCTAAATCCACCACCAACCTTATTAAGATGATTTCTTTCCTTTTTTTTGTAATTTTGTTAGTCCCCGTGGCGTCGGGATGGAAACTCCCAATTTAAACGTGGTGCTTCCCCCTGCCATGTGATTGTCACTTGCCTTTTTCTTATAAACAAAAACCGGAATTCCTCCCCGCTGCCTTGCAAGGCATGTGATTGCGTTCAAAAGAGCGAATGCCATCCTGTCCCAAGATATAATCGGGGGTGAGGAAGCGGGAGGGAAGACTCAATTATGCGGGAGAAGGTACCATTTAGCGCAGTGTTTCTCAACCTTGGTAGCTTGAAGATGGGTGGACTTCAACTCCCAGAATCCCCCAGCCAGCAGCGCTGGCTGGGGGATTCTGGGAGTTGAAGTCCACCCATCTTCAAGCTACCAAGGTTGAGAAACACTGATTTAGCATCTCGGGAGACTTGGCCTGACCTCCTACTTTGCTAACTTTTTGTGGGATGTGTGTGTGTGTGTGTGTATTTGTGTGTCTGTTTTTTTTTTTTTAATTGAAAGGGAAAGCCATTCACAGGCTGGTGTCCACGTGCACTTCTGAAAGAGTCCCGCCCAGGAAAAGCGATCATCCCCTTTACTGGAAAGGGAAACTCTCCTCTTTCCCCGCCCCCCAAAAAAACGCATGAGCCATCGCTCCTTTTGTCCCGGTCCCAACGCAAAACTCCGGGCCGGGTTTTGGATGCAACTCGTTGAGTATAGTAGCCGAGGGCAGTGTCAGTCCCTTTTTTTTTTTTTTCTTGTTGTGTTTCTGTTACACTTCGCCATCTTGTTACAAAGCCTTTTTCTCGTCTGGAAGCTTCGTAGAAGCTCGGGGGTTGGCGGGCGATCTTTGCAGTTTTTCTATTTATTTTTTATTTTTATTTTTTGGGAGTGGGGGGGAGGGAGGAAAGAGATCAACCAGCCCAGCAAGATCCCACGGGGGGGGGAGGGCGGGCGGGGAAGCAACGAGTTTTTTTTGCCCCTCGACTTATTATTGTGGGTGTGTGTGTGGGGGGGGGGGGGGGGGGGGGGGGAAACTTTGAAGTCTCCCAAGACTTTGGATCCCTTTCCCCGAAGACGCAGCCTTCGAGAAATGAGCATTGAGACCTTGTTAGAAGCGGCCAGATTTCTGGAATGGCAAGCTCAGCAACAGAAAACACGTGGTAAGTGAGCGCGGGGGGGGGGGCTGGGGGGGGGGGAGAAGAAAAGGAGAGGCGTGCAAAATCGGATTTTTTTAAAAAAAATGGGGAAAAAAGACTTTTTTTTAAAAAAAAAGAAAGAATGAGAATCGCGGCGCTGGGTGACAGCCCCCGAACGGCTGTCCTTTTTTTTTGCTGCGAAAGGAGCGGACAAAGTTTGCAGCGCAATTTGCAAAAAGGGCATCTCATCCATTCCTTTCTTCCAAGAAAGAGAAGCCCAAACGTGGGAAGCGGCAAACCCGCGTGAATTCAGTGGGGATTCCGAAGTTCTCCCCATCAAACCCACCCACTCCCCCTCCCCGGGGCAAAGCGCGCCTTACGGATCGTTGTTTTTTTTTTTTTTTTTTTTGGGCCGGGTGCGCTTAGGTGGTAGTGGATGGGGTGGATGTTTTTTGCTTTTTTTTTTTTTTGGTGTGTGTGTTTTTGCACAACGCCCCGTTGCCTTCGTCAGAAGGCGCTTCCGTGTTCAAAAATACATTTTTTTTGCACGGTGGATCGTGCCCCGTTTTGGGCGGGTTGGATCGAAGGCGGCGGCGGTGGTGTGGGGGGGGTTGTGAGAAGAGTTCAGGCGATTGATTTCCTTTCGATCCGGTCAGCGTGTTTTTGGGCTGTTTTCTCAGCTGAGATGTTGTAATGAAAAGAGAAGTCACCTGATTTGTCGTCAGTTTCCTATTTGGAAGTTTTCTGTCCTGTCCGACCTACCCTTCAATTTCCCCCCACCACCACCACCACCCCGTCCGGGATGGATAGATTATAGATCTAGAGAGAGAGAGATCGATGGATTATTTTAATCAAAATTTTTGGGCGGGGAGAATAGGAAAAAAAGCGAGGGTGTTTTTTTCAGGGAGGGGGAGCAGATTACGCAAGGGGCGATTGGGTGAACCTCGCCATTGTCTCTCTCTCTCTCCACCCGTCTACTCTTAAGTAAAAGCGCCGATGACTTAATCGGGGGTTTATTGCCGGGCACACAGCACGATCTTCTTAAGATCTTAAGGATCGCAGCTTCCGAACCGAGTCTCGTTTCGAATTCTGCTGGGACTCTTTTTTAAAAAAAAGATTTGCTGACACATGGTAGCCGGAAAGTAAAAAAAAAAAAAAAGAAAAGAAAAAGGAATTAATTTCGTTTCCTGCAGACTTGGTTCCTTCCTTGCAGCTCAAAATCGATCTTTTCCCGCTTTGCAATGAGACGGAAGCGCGGGGAGGGAAAGAAATAAGACCTTGGCCCATCCGATCACTAAACGGATCTCCCCCCACCCCAAATAAAATTAACCCCGATTCCTTAGGAAGGATAGGTTCCCTCTCCCCTCCATACATCCCCCCCCATCGCCAGGCAGCGCCCGGTTTCCTCCCCCCCCCCCAGCAAGCTTCCCTTTCTGTCTGCCCCCCCTTCTTTTTCTTCCACCCCCCCAATTCCTTTTCCACTCCACCCCCCCGTAACTTTTAATCAGACGATCCGTGCAAAGCCCAACGCGTGGCAGACTGAAAGAAGGCGGGGTGAGTTAAGATGTCATGTAGTTATGCGCCAAACGGGTGGGTGGGTGGGTTGCAGAATCGACTTCCCCGCAAGCCCAATTTTTTTTTTTTTTTAAAAAAGAGCTGTTGAGAAGGGAAAGACCTCCTTTCTTCCGCTCCCCGGTTTTCCCGGTGATCCAGTGCTAGCTGATCCAGTGCTCCCCGAATCCCGCTTTTTTGGATCTGCTGGATTTCCTTTAGGTGTGTGTTTGTATTGGGGGGGACACACACACATATACATGCCTTCCACTCCTGTTTGGCGCTTCCCAGGGCGGTGGCGGCGAGGCAGTGCCTTTTTTTTTTTTCCTTCTCTCCCCTTCTCCCTTCCCCTCCCCTTTGATTTGCATAATGAAAATGACATGGAGGGGAGGAGGAGGAGGAGGAGGAAAATCATATGATAATACTTAATACTTGTTCCGCCTCTGTCTCTCTCTCTCTCCCCCCCCTCCGTCTGTCTAGTGAGACGCCTTTATGAGAAATGTGCTTTTAAGAAGAGCTCCGTTTGAATGTCCTTCTTTTGGGTGGGGGGGGAGGGAGAGAGAGCGCTGGTGGCTGAAAGTAAAAATAAAAAGGGGGCGGGGCTTGAGGGAAGGGATGCGGTAGCGCGTGGTCCGGGGATCTAAGGGCACAATGGAACGTTGGCGTCGCCTGTGTCTCAGCAGCACCCTCCTCCCCCCCCCCCGCCAGGTTTGGAACGTTGCGTGTTTGCTCTGCGTTCCAAACGCCTCCCATTGGCTGAGGGGAAGCGGATGACGTGTCGAAGGCCCTGCCCCCGACCACGTGCGCTGGGGACACATCCCCTCTTGGGGCGGCTGCTCCGGGCCTGCGAGGTTTGCGTGCCTGGAAAGGCGTGCGAGTGTGTGACTCTGTGTGTGTGTGTGTGTGTGCGCGCGCGTGCAGGCGGGGGGAGGGGGGGGGAGAGAAAAGGAAGGTGCTTTTTTCTCTTGTCTGAGGGAAGCGCGGATAATAAAAAAAAAAAAAAGGCAAGAGAAGGGGAGCTGATCAGAATTACGACATAATGCTACACTGTGGTGCCCCCTCCCTTTTCCTTGGCATTCTTTTTATAAAAATCCTTTTCTTTTATTGGTTTTTCCGGCTTCTGGAACCGACCTCTGCATCCATAGATCTATTTGACAATTCAGAAAGGATTCCTGCAGGGGCAAAAAAATTATTTTTTTTTAATTTTATTTTTATTTTTTATTTTTTTTAAAAAAACGCCCTTTTACTGCAATCTGTTTATCATTATTATTCCAGCAAAGTATAGGGGAGAGAAGGGAGACCGTGGTAGCCCCTCTTGAAATTGCCTTTTTTTTTTTTTGGCTTGCTTGTGTTTTTAATGTTTATAAAGAAAACGTCAACCTGCTTTGTAAGCATAACAAGCGACTTCTCTTAACGATCCCGTAGTGGATTCTGGAAATAGTTGAAGAACAAGATTCCGCTGTTTTGGTCCTGCAGTCCTTCTTGTTTACTTCTGGGGGGGGGGAAGATTAATATTTAAACTGAATTTGCCCTGCACCCCTAATTCTAATAACCTTCTGGCTTTCTCCTTATATAATAACAAACATTCCTAATGATACGGTAGCATCACAAGTACAGGGAATCTCAGAGCACAGTGACATATATATCCCCCATGCAGAATTCTTGGTTTACAGCTGTTTGCTTAGTGACCGTTCGAACTTACAAAGGCACTGAAAAAAGTGACCAATGACCGGTCTTCACACTTAACAGCATCCCCATGGTCATGTGATCAAAACATCCCTATGTGTTGCAGCGTTCCCTGCTTGTGACCTTCCCAGCCAGCTTCCAACAAGCAAAGCTAATGGAGGAAACTGGATTTGCTCAACAGCTGTGTGATTCACTTAACAACCCACTTTGCTTATCAACAGAAATTCTGATTCTGGTTGTGTTTGGGAGGATGACCTGTACCCCATTTTAAATCCACATTTCAAGAGAGGAAGAATTTTTTTAAAAAAAGGTGTTGCTCTTAAAAATAAAGGAGCAGTCATGGTTTGGATTAGGTTGGTCCTATTGTGTGACCAACCAGGCTTAAGGATGGAGACATATTTTGTTCAAAGTTGGTCTAATGTAGTGTTTCTCAACCTTGGCCGCTGGACGATGTGTGGACTTCAACTCCCAGAATTCCCCAGTCCCTTTGTACTGACAAAGTACTTTAATTTTTTCTTCTTCTACTCCAGAGTGCTGGCTGGGGAATTCTGGGAGTTGAAGTCCACACATCGTCCAGCGGCCAAGGTTGAGAAACACTGGTCTAGTGATTAATTGCGTGGTTAAATCAATGTTTAGAAATAATATATCCCAGAGAATCGGGTGCAAGAGGAAAAAAAGCAGGAGGCAGTTTGATTATTTTGCATCTGGTTTGTGAACTTGCCTCCAGGCATAAGATTTGAATTTACATGTTACTCTTAAATCTGGAATGAATGTTATTTGGTTTGGACCGAGAGCAAGGAATCTCACAGACCATCTAACCTAAACGATCACTGTTAATGGGAAAGTAGTTAACAAAGGAGAATCTTCTCCCTTTTAAAAGTCATCTTCGCCCACGCATCCAAAGAGTTTCTACCATGCATAAATTCTTACTAAGGTTCAATTTGCAAGGAATCCTTTTCTTGGCTTGCAGCTTAGTGGTTCAAGTCCTGTTCTTTCCAGCAGTGTTCTCAACCTTTGCATGCTGACTGGGGAATTCTGGAAGGAAGTCCACATGTTATTATTATTATTATTTATTGAATTTCTATACCGCCCTTCTCCCGAAGGACTCAGGGCGGTGAACAGATTAAGATTTCATATACATATAATAATTTGTTTTTATAAACAGTAAATAATAAATTGAGTCAACTTGGTGTATCTGCTAAGAACTTGGCATAAAATTTAGATGTTTATGTTAGCCCTGCTTGTTGAAACAGAAAGGTCTTCAGGGCATGCCGGAAAGTGCGAAGATCTGGATTATTCGTATTCCAGGGGGTATTTTATTCCAAAGAGTAGGTGCTCCCACAGAGAAGGCTCTCTCCCTTGGAACTACTAGTCGACATTGTTTTAATGATGGTACTATGAGTAGGCCTACTCTGTGAGAGCGTATTGGTTGGTGGAGGTTATCGGTTGCAGCAGGTGGTCTCGTAAGTAATGTTAAATTAGGGTTGAGAAATACGGTACTGCTCAAGAGAAACAGAAAACTTTTCTATGGCGGACATGATGGTTCTTGCATGGCATGTTAACCATCTTTTCTTCAAGTTGGTCATCAAGCTTTCTTTATAATTCTTCCTGGACCCTGTTTCTAGTCGTCTGGACCCAGCTTCTTGGGAATGTTTCATGGTTGTATAATGTAAAGCTGGGATGTGATCTTGGAGATGTTCTAGTCAACTCCCTAGTCAGAGCAAGAATCCACTATTACTACAGCATCTCTGATACATTGTCATCTAGCTTCTGTTTAAAGCTCTGAA